TTATAGAAAAACCTACGTTATGTCACAAAAACCTACGAAATGTCAAAAAAAAAAACGACAAAATGTCACTTTTCAAGATACGTAACACCCGTGTGGGTCACCAAAAGCTGCTATAAGGAGCTTGAAGACACCTTATTGATCCAATTTTTGAACTACTGGGAGAAACCTCATCAGGTTCTACAATCTCGATACCCTAGGCACAAAGTAGCAGTCGTACTGGCCATTTCTGACGAGGAAAGCCTATTGACATAGCGGTAGAATAAAGCCAGACTGCCAACGGCCTCTGCTCTCTTCGGTAGAACTCTGGCATCCGAATGAGCGCCACGGGCTTCTTGGTAGTCAAGGTACAGTACTGTGTTTTGATTGCTGCATCTCCAAGCAGCGATAACCTCCAGATCTCTCGTCAGAGAGGAAGTCGCTGCTAGTCTTCTTCTCTCCAGCTCAACGGCAGAAACTGGATTGACACTCTAAATTCCTGCATTTAGAGTGCTGTCAGCAAAGCTGTGAATTGGATTGAGCACACAGGAAATGAGACCATTGATATGTAAGAGAAATAATATCGGAGCCTAGACCGATCCCTGGGGAGCACCCGAGTTGACATTGTGAGATGAAGAGGATTAATTACGATGGATATCTCGAGTCCAGAGAGGATATCAGTCATCCATCTTCAAAGCTATCCTGGGAGGCCGTAGGATGGAAGATTGCGTGACAGGGCAGCACGCTACAGCTGATCGAGAACTTTCGTGGTAACAAGGGCAACGACATGAGCCTCACGATACGACTGGATGAGTTTGCTCCACAGTTGCGTGACGTGAGCTAGGAGGTCCCTTGTGGATCGCTGGTGTCGGAAATCATACTGCCTGTCTCTAATCAAGTTTGACGTCCGAGGTACTCCAGAAGCTACCGATCAATACACCCCTCTCTCACCTTACTTATAAGAGAAAGCAGCGTTATGGGTCTGTAGTTGGATCCTTTTTTGGGTGGGTTGGACATGAGCAATTTTTCAGTTCTCAGGTGCCGAATTCGTAAGATATCTGGAAGAGATGCGAAAGAAGTGGAGCAAGCTCCGCTTCAGATATATTCAGCACAACGTCACGAATCTAGTTCGGCCCATGGTGAGAAGCTCCCTTCAATCAGCTTGACCAGCGTCCAGAAAGACTACATGTCAGTGCGCTGCGACATTACCATGTGTCTAATTTTGCATCGTCTTGGTCTTTGCGAACCAGTTCTTTATTTACGTTTCTCGACTCGACATCTGCTTGTCTGTTCTCTACAGTGGTTTTTTTTGGGAACCTATGAGTCCGGGGTCCTCTAGGATTCTCGATCTTCTGATCTGACCAGATCGAGTCTGCGCTTGAGACTAGAGATTCCACGAATAATGATTTTGCCAAATCCGAATGCCGAATATCCGACGCGCTTCCGAATATTTGGCACCGAACTAGTTCCATCCATCATTCGAATCCTTAAAAATATTATAGTACATTGTTGGGCAAAACACAGATTTTTGTCTCCCGTTGTTATAAGTGAACGAAACATGGTAGATTTAGGTAACTGGAAGCAGGTTTGATGAACCGAATACGAATATAACCTCCATAAAAGTATCGTGGGTCCAACGAAACGCCACGTTCAGTTGCAGTAACCAATTAACAGGTAGTGGATCGAACTTTTTATTTCCTTGCTTATAAGTTTAAATCGTTCGAAGCATCGGAATCGCAGTTTCAAATGAAAACGTGTTGCTTGGAAAATGAAACTACGAACTAGCTCGTGCGCTAGTCTCTGTCTATGTGGCTTTACTGGGATGTCTACTAATTAAAAACCAAGATAAGAGCACCTGCTTCCTGATGAAATCATCCATGAGTCAAGTGCCAACTACCTAATAAATTGTTATTCATGTCAACAGTGACTGTTTTGTTAACAGTAAAACTACATAAACAAAACTAACCTGACAGTGTTATGAAAGATTAAGTGATAGAGCATTCCACAATTAGTAACAAACAACCAAAAATGTATGTGTGTGTACAACGGAAGGAAACGCCTGTTTTTCAACCGCTGAATTTTGGAACGAAACAAAAAAAATGTGTTCAGGTTACTGGTTTCCAGTGTCAACTACGAAGAAACAGCTCATTCTTTTTAGTTTTGCATATTCTGTTATGGACCGAAAAATTCTCGAATAATTCAAGTTGTAGGAAACACCAACAATAAATAGACGCGGACTTTGTAGCCATCTCTTCAACGTTAAGACGCGGTACTTCATGTACCGTTTATCCCAGGCGCTCTCCCTTGCGTCTTTCTAGCCACTTTGATAGGGTCAGATAATATTTTGATGTTGATAGTTTTTATAGGTAACAGGGAAATGTGTGGCCAGGGGGGTGACATTTAAACTATGAAATACTGGTACCACTGGCAAAAGACACATTTAGACAAAAATATGCAATTTGAATTGCACCAGGTGAGGGTGGCACAGCTTTTAGTTTATAAAAAATGCTTAGTATCTCATTTCAGTTCAAATAGGTTATAATGTATTTCTAGCCATACAAAAAGTATTCGTATATTCTTATACCAATTACATATACAGATGTTTGTTTATATTTATAGTGAAAGTTCTAAATGGAGCACGCCAGGGAAGTCTACATTTTGTTAATGCACAAAACTTATCATCATCAACATCATCATTTATGTTCCTAATAAAGCATGATATTTTACACTATTTGGATGACTTATTTCCACAATATGTTAGTTTGCTCAAGATGTTTTTGGCAGAGTATTGAAATTCCAAATACCTTATTTTCACCCATATACATACCTATCTAATATTCAACTCATCCACCTTAAGCGGAAAATATGCCCTAGAATAATTAGGTATCCATTAAGGGGTATTTACAAGAGCGTCCGAGCTCCGAACTAGGTTTTATAAGAGGTGTCAATATGTTTTATAAAAAACTATTTTATTTGTATTAATTTCTTTAACCCATTAGAAAAAATTCTCCAGGCTTTTTTTGGGTCGAACTTCCACTTTGTCATTTGACTCATCTATGCTCAATCACTATATTTATAATCGCGTTAGAACTATTCTCCTTAAACTACGCCACTGGAATCACGATGCACAATGAACTGCCACGCCCTCGGCGACTGTTTTCCTTATAGTCATCCAGAGTGTGATAAGGGGTAAGGAGGCCTGGACCAATGCCATCTATGATGGGCTGGCTTCCTGACAGGGTTGTCATGTTGTTAGTATAGTAGGAAAGACCATATTAATTCTCCTAAACTACCAAACTGATGTTTCACGAATGTCTTGCTTATTGTCAGAACGTGAATAAATTTTCCACTACGCCACATTCATAGTGCCGCTCCTGTTTATCCATCTCAATATACGTTTTTTTACTTCTTACAAGTCTTCGTTTATACAGTTTATGAAAATTCTTGGGTAAATTCATTATTGAAATTTGGCGACTGAGGTTCTCATTAGCAGACAAGATTTACTGCCATCAATAGATTTAGATCTTGGGGTATGGCACAGATAAATTCAAGGTCATCTGAAGGTCATTTCAAAAGATACTCTAGAACAGCTGAACAATCAAGTCCTACCACCAGTTATATTGGTTTTTAGGCTCAGTGAGCTTGAATTCCAGATTAGCTTGCTCGACTCCAGGATGGCATTTAAAAATATTTTCAAGGTCAATATAACATCTGAAACTTATCGTGTGGTTTTCATATTGATAATCCCTCATATTTGTCTAGCCCAAACAAAACCATGAGATGCTATTTTGAAGGTTATTTCAAATAAAATTTTAAAATAATCTGAACAATCGAGTTCAACTATGTCAAACAACTTTTTGAAATTGCAAGTTCAAATATGAGGTCAATTTGTCTCTATGAGGACATTCAAAATCATATTACATGGTTATTTCAAGGACAAGTTCAAAGTAAGACAAGCGAGCAATCAAGTCCATCTCCTGTCACATACGTTTTTGGGGCATCTGAATCCCAATGAGGTCAATTTGTCTTTACCAGTGCATTTGAGAATCATTTTAAGGCAAGGGCAAATTCAAATTTTTTTTGAGTCTGCTGTCAGTTTGGCTGTATGAGGGATTGTAAATAATATTCCAGTGTCAAATTTAAGAGAAATTTTGTCCAACCACATGTCTTTATATAGACTATTAAGGTCATTGAGCCTGAATGCAGTTTGAGTATAAGAGCATTTGAAGATCACTACAGAGACAATGTAAAAGGAGTTGAGTAATTATACCTCACATCCTGTTATATGGAATTTTGAGGCTTTTTGTGACCACCTATAACTTCATAGTTACAAGTTTTAAGAGTTGCATAAATGTTTTTCATTAAGGGTAAATATATGGAATTTGAGATTTCAATGTTCTGCCAAAAAAATCTTAAGCAAGCTGACAAATTGTGGAAAGAAACCATACAAATAGTATAAAATATCACGCTTTATTTGAAACGTAGATGAAACTAAAGTAATAATTAAGATTTAGGCACAATATGTTTTTGTCACTACCCTGGCGTCACTCTCATGGAAGTTTTCATGTCAATTGTTTTTTTGTACCAGTCTTCTTTTTATATTTTCTACTTTTTGTCATTTCCCTAGAATAAAAAATATTACAAATAATGACAGCGACGACTGGGACAGCTATCAAAAATGTCCAAACACAACCATTACCCTGAGGGTCTGTGAAGTCTCAATCTACATAATTCCCTTGTTTCAAGACAAATGGAACTGAACACTTGCTATTGTTAATAAAGATATATTGAATTTATTCAGCTAATCATGTTTGTTTAGAGAATATTTATATAGTTTAAATGTCACTCCCCTTGGTATCTAGAAAAGCTGTCACAATAAAAATATGTGACCCTGTCAAATATGTATCACATTATATAATTTTGTAACAATGAACATGAAAACCAAAATAGGCTTTTTTCTTAGTCAATACTGAAAACCAACCAAATACTGTATAACAAAAATTGAAATAACTCAGGGTACTCACCATATAGTACAGGCTGTTCCTCAAACTTTTGGAAGTATGATCGGTCTCACTATTGCCCTTTTCTCTCATCCTCAATTCTAAAAGCATAGACTCCTTCAGATAATGATATGGCTCTGAGTACAGAGGCTCCTCAGTGTTATCCACAAAGAATGAAGAATTTGGCTCTTTGATTTTTTCATAATTTGAGACAGCACATCCTAATCCATTTAGACAGTTTAGATTGAATGCTGATGTAGCATTTTCAGATTCTGGACTGGGTAGTTTTGGCAGGGTGCGATTTGACTTGCTGCGGAACAACAAGCTATCATCACTATCCTCACCTGAGGTTGAGATATCTGTCTTAGCTTGTCTCCTAGCTCGTAGTTTATTATTCCTTAGTGCTGTCTCAAGTTTGTTAAGCATATATTTAGGATCTGCTTTCTTAGGAGCCACCTTAGGCCTCGTATTGTTAGGTTTAGATTCTACATGTAGAAATGATATGTTTTTCTCCAGATTTTCGATCGTCACAGTATGTTGGAAAGTTCGCGGCGGTTTTTTAGGTGGTGGGCCATTTGGTAATGGTTTTTTCAATGCTGTTTTCAATGTATCTGTTAACTTTTCATCATCTTTGGAATCATATGGTTGTTTATTACTGGGTTTATCACTTATCTTCAAGGTACTCTTATTGTAAATATTTTCACTTTGTATCTTAGGACAATCTACTTCATCCACATTCCTAGTACGTAATGATTTTGGTATTGGTTCTGTATATAGCAATGACAAATCAACACCTTGTAAATCTTCACTTTCACTACACTGTTCTTGACTCTCTGAGTTGTTGTCACTCACCACCATATCAAACTTACTGCGGATATACTTGAAATCATGTGAACTCTTTGATTTCACTAACAATGGCTTTTTAGGTACCTGAGTTGCACTATTACTACTATCAACATTATCACAGTTTTTCACGGCACTGAACTGTTTAACTTTGTTTTCAAACAAGGTACTTCGATTAAAGCCATTCCTTTGAAAACCACTAGTTCTGTCAACACTTTTGTCTAGTCGAAAAGCTGGTGTACGCTTTATATTCCTTCGACATGGGTCACTAAGCTGCCTCTGCACCACTAGTTTTTCATTCTGTATGATATTTTCAGGCCTTTGAGGGCTATTGTTCACTCTCAAGTTACCTCTATACCCATTTTTCTTTTCTGGGGACTCATTTTCGATATTTTCGAACTTACTTTTGATAGATTTCACTCGATTTGTGTTCTGTGGAGGCCTATACATTATTTCGCGTCGATGATTTTAGACGATTAGCTCACATCTTGTTAAACAGGAAGTTTGTAATTTGTTCGTTAAGAGCCGTCACAAGTAGAGCAACAGGTAAAACGGGGTTAAATCTGTAAAAAGAAAATGGATCAGTACACTTACCATGGTTCGTATTGCAGTTTTTAAACGGACTAAATTAGCTAGAGAATTAACTTACCGAGAGCCTGAAGGTTTAATTAAATTCTTTGGAATTAATAATTGTTCGAGATCTTAGGTCGCGCACATACGCGTTCACAAACAAGCAATGTTTTCTTGACTGATTCTCTTCTTCTTTCTTCGCCTGTTGCTCACTCTCTATTTTGACGTTTCCTGTCTCATAAAAAAGTCAAGGCCGTTATTTAATGCATGACGTGCAGGCAACCAGTTGTGCAACCTAGTACAGGTCGATTAAGCAAACTGTATAAGGAATTTGTGTATACAGGGGTAATTCTAAGAATGTCAGTATCTTCAGAGCTGACAGTAAATGCAAAAATAACATGAATGGTCCCTAAAAATATAGGTTTTAAGATAGCTTATCACCAAGATACAGGATGTTGAAAATTTCTACACCGTTGACGAAACTGATTTATACTTGGGTACCGAAAAGGAAGAGACTTTGTTTTGCTGCTTTTTGGTACCAGACAATAGGACAAAACATGAATAATAATTCTTCAAAATAACGTTGACGCTGTGATGGGGTAAAGTTTCTCCCGTACTACACTAAATACAATTTCAAACGCCAAAGCCTTGTTAACTTCAGTATGTTTCCAACGTAGAGCGGATTCAACGCTGGGTCTGCAGGATAGTTGAGGTTGGAAAAAATGTTGATATCGAACTGACAATTCTCCTTTGACACTAAAGTAAATAATGTAATCTCCTGCGTGGGGCCATAAAACCTAATCAGCTGAGTGGAGACATTACCACTTTTACGTGTATAATTTGGTTCTCGTAGTTAGGTTCCTGTAAATCACACTTTTTGCGGATAAAAAGCACCCCTGTCATTTCCTGAGTTATATTCTTTTCGTCTGACGGATCGTGCTTTCCTTAAGGCATTGTTTTTCAAAGTGGGGGCGCGCTCCTCTTTGTGGGTGTAAAGGAAGGCACGAGAGACGCGTGGTTCGGATGAAACAAAATCAATCTGATCACATATGGCTGTATTTTTGAGTAGCGATGCTTAAGTGTTTAAGCTTGACTATGTCTCTTAGCATTCTAAGTTTTGATGGCAAATATGCGGGCAAATCTATGATGTGTGAAATATGTCTAATAGGTGCGTGGAATTACCAGGATCCGGTCGTATAAATATACTAAGATCAAAAAGCTGAGATATTCTTTTCAATACCAACAATTTTTTTTTCTGAAAATGATCACGATCTTCTGAAACCTCTAAAACGAAGTAAGAACTATTTCTATTCTTTTCGTGTTTTGTCCCATAGCTTCACTGCCACTGGATTGATTTTCAAAACTACAGCTTTGTGTGAACTGTGAAAATTTTATACATATCGAAATCATAGACGAGCCAAGGATCGGTGGACAGACCAACCGACAGACGGACCGGCAGACAGGCGGACCGAGTGACATGGTTTTTCGTGTTATTATGTACATGTCATAAAACGCCTAAAGAATATAATATCTCGTTTTAGAAATTTTTCGCGACTACAATACTTCCTTGCCAGCGGCGCGGGAAGTAAAAATGTTTTCGAGGAGCAAGATATTATATAAACATTCCAAATTGATGACTACTGCAAGCATGTTCTTAAACAATCCAAATATTAATATAATAATAAAACCAAATATTTGTGGTAGCATAAACATTTATTATAATACTCTTATGGTGTATCGTGAAAAAAGATTCACAACCTTAGAAAAGGTGCATTGGCATTGGTTTGAAAATAATAAACTCCTCTGGCAGTTGTGTCTACATGGTGTCCAAATATTATTTCTTTGGGATCTTCCTTGAGCTTTATTGTAACGTTGTGATTTGGGTCTTCGTGATATTCTGCTTCTCTGGCTTTTGCTTTTCTTTTCACAGACTCGATGTAGAACAGCGTAGATCGGGCATGATGACGGTTAACTGAAAAACGCAAGAAATGTAATGCTGATTGGGAAAGATTTGAAAAGAAGAATTTCATTAGTATTGTGAAAAAAGAACAATAATATACTCAAATATCATTTAATCCCTGTCATAATGTCATAATGTCATAATGATTCCAAAGAAGGTGGGTTCGATATTCCCTCAGGATTACCGCCCCATTAGTCTACTGTCAGCTCCTTCTAAGCTCGCTGAAAAGGTGATTCTACGTCACCTTGAAATTTTCTCGGCAGACCACAATGTGATTCCTGACGTGCAATTTGGATTTCGGTCTGAGCATAGTACGGAGCTACAGGCCATAAGGCTTGTTGAACGAGTAACCAGCGGGTTCACCCGTAATGAAAGTACTGGCATCTTGCTACTGGATGTCTCAAAGGCATTTGACAAGGTGTGGCACAAGGACCTTCTCTACAAATTGATCCATAAGGGCTTCCCCTTCTGGCTCCTAAAACTTTTGAAATCCGTTCTCGAGGGTAGGAAATTTCGGATCAAAATTAATAACGTTCTGTCGACAACACGGCCCATCAAAGCCAGTGTCCCTCAGGGTTCGGTTCTTGGACCAGTCCTTTATTCACTTTTTATTCATGACGTCCCTTGCCCCAGCAGCTGTGAAACCAATCTCTATGCTGATGACACTGCCCTGGTGGCCCAGTCGTGCTCTGGGGATCTAGTTCATGACAGGCTGCAAAGTGCAGTGGACGATGTATTGGAATGGGCGAATCGGTGACTGATCAAAATTAATCATTCGAAAACGCAGGCAATCTATTGTACTAAAAAACGTAGCGGCGCCCCGTCTGAGGTTTCAGTGAATGGAGCTCGGGTACCATGGGAAAGCTCTGCTAAGTATCTCGGTATCACTCTTGACAAGGGGATAACCTGGCAGAAGCACACTGAAGCTTTAAAAACTAAATTCCAAATCTCGTTTCACAAGCACACAAGGCCGCGACTCGCACTGTGAACAAAATTAAATCGTGCGTTTTTAGGTCCAACCAAAATTATAATTTGTCTTCAACAACCAATCCCAAAATTAATTTTAGGATCAATTTAAAATTGCCGAATACTAACTAGCAATGCCAAGGCACCCCTCAAATTGATGCACTTCTTTTTTCTTTGCTCTCCCTCCTTCCTTCCTTTCTTCTTCCCTTCTTTCTCCCTGACTTTGTTTGGTATCTGGGCAACCAGACCTGACAGACCTACTGACTTACAAGACTTCAACCAAGAGCAAAAGTCCTACGGACCGCTCCGACAGACAATGACGAATAGTGTAGTGTGCCTAAACGTCATGATTCTGCAGTTACAATGTTTGGCTCTGATGTGATGTAACATCTGCTTCAGAGATGTCATTATTAGAGGTCTAAGCTGTAAGTTGTATACTATAACTGGAAGGAAAAATGACCGTGCATGGGTGGATAGTTGCGCATATGCTTTTTCTTGTTCAACCTGGAAATTACATATGCAAATTTGCTAAATTTTAAAAAAGAGAGCGATATGAAAAGAAAATCCCTGGTTGGTGAAGTACCTATCTTGAAAATAACAGGTGAGAAAATATGATAGATACAGGAATATTGATGAAACGTAAGAAAGTTATTACATTTCACATTCATTTTTAATTCCAGTCATATAAATTTCATAGACATTTTTTAAGATGCCAAGTAGAAAATACAAATCAGCGCCTAGATGTGCGGTAGTGCAAAAATGTTTTGAATCTAATGCGTCATTTTTTTGTGATGTGGCTTAACTACTCACAATGCGGGTGCGGTGCTGAGTTTCCGTAATGCTTGTCAAAGTTTTCGAAAACGCAAAAAAACGGGGAGAATTGTAATGTAGGTATAACTTTGAACATAACCTCTATTTAGAAAGGTCAACACAAATAAGGCGGCTAATAGATATATTTCATAGTTCGTGATCAAATTTTTCGGGCGGATCTGTTCTGATTCTATTATTCTATGGTATTTTCTTAACCCATATTTTTCGATGGACTGCTTTATGAGTGTTCTAGACTCATCACAGAGAGGTTCTGGATCTTTCAAATGATTGGCGACACCTCTGTAAGCTTACTCATCCGCTTTGCGATTTTTAAGAGGGGCTAAGAGCTCCACAAGTTTTTAAGAACTATTTTTTGTTTCTTTAGAGACGTAGAATTTGATACAGGGGTAGCTTATAGGCAATAGATGTCTGCTAAGAACGGATTTCGAGTTCTGCGAACGTAAAGCGTTCTCTCCCTAAACAAATATTAGGGGATTACGAGGTACGGACGAATAGACAGACAAAGATTCGTTTCGTATGCACAAAAACAAGTAATAAAGCACACAGTAACACAAACATTTATTGAGCGAAAACAACATTCACACAATCAGATAAGGTACACTGCTTTTGGTTTCCAGATAGAATACACCTCTGGAAGAACGCTCAGCAAAATATCCAAAAATCGCTTCTTTCGGATTGTTTTTTACGTTTATCTGAACATAATAATCGTTTGCTTCGATAAAATTTGCTTCTTTAGCTTTCGCCTGTATGTACATAGATTCAATAAAATACCTTACAGCTCTTCCATGGTTGCATTTTACTGGAATAAACAATAGTAGAAATTAAAGATGAACCATAGATGCTAATGATATGACGCAAAAAGATTTATATCCGACATGCACACCAAATAATTATTCATGAAGAGAAATTTCAATATCATCGATGAATTTTTTTCCGAGGAGTTCCTAATGATAGTTCATAAAATAAAAGAAACTCAGAAACACTGAAAAACGAAGCGAACGCGTTCTGAAATTTTTAGTATTTCGACCGTTCTTAGCTGCCACTTGATCGATTTGCAAAATCTACAAAGTTCTTTATTCTTGATGTGGCATCAATCTTGCGTCAAGGTTTTATCAACATTTGAGCAGTATTTTCAGAGTTATAGACAGACCGATCGAATATATAAACTGACCGTGCTATTGTGTCACCAGTAGTTGCGCATAAACGATATTTTAACGTAGCAAGCACAAAAGTTCCTTTATAGCCCTACAGCATAAAACCAGCCCGTGGCTGGAATGAGAGACGCCCAAAAGACCTATTCCAAGCCAGGTCGTAGACAGATTATTTTTTCACTACGAACATGAGAAATCGCCATTATTTTTCTTACATAAAGATAGTCGAATTTCGTGAAAATATCATTTCGTCGGCTTAATTAAGCAGATACGGCCAATTAAAAATAATAACTGCTGTTAAAATACTAAACAAAGTAGCGGTTTGTACCACATAATAAACCAATTGAGTGGTATCTGCAACACTCACGGCTAACTTGCGATTGAGGTTGAAAATTTCTAGCAATCATACTAAAGCAAAAAAGTGGAAACTAGGCGAAAGAGATCTACGCTAATATTCCTATTGTTACACTAAAGTAAAATAGTGGCAACTGTTACACTATAAAGGCATAAAAGTCAGATGTAGACGATGCTGGACGAAAAAGTCGTATCTGCAATAGCATTGTGACTTACGTTAATAAAGCATAAAAAGACAATCATGGGCATGTCCGCAATAAAGAAACAGGAGCAGAAATAGAAGGATTTGAAGCCCGAGTGACGAACGTTTCTGTTTATTGGCTTCATCAGGTCCAAATGGATGTGCATCGAGGAAACAGAAGTGAAGACATATGCCCAGTATATCTGGATACCTGTATAACCTGAAGGAAAACAGGGATGGAAAGGGAAATATAACTAGAAGCCACTTACAAGACCCAGCAGGCTTCCGAGGTCCTCGTGTTTACCAGGTATCAACCAAGGTCGCAATGGAGGCCAGCTCTAGCTACTTGCCGTGGTACTTCTAGCCAATGAGTGATTACAAAAAAGAGTAGACTTTGGGAAACTTAGTGAAAACAAAGGACCATCGTGGCATCTCTTCTAGTTCTATTTCCCTTTCTATCATTGTTTTCCTTCAAGTTACACCCGTAATAAGATATGATCTTCTTCGGTGTTCTTGATGCACATCCATTTGGGCCTGATGAAGCCAATAAGCAGAAACGTACGTCTGTCAGGCTACCAATCCTTCTATTTTTGCTTCTGTTTCTTTATTTGCGACATACAGCAAAAAGCAAATTACCATCAATTTGGCGAGGAGGACATCCAGGTTGATCCATGCCACCATTAGGGTAAAAATCCACGTGTCCCAAAGGTGGAGTGTATCCATAATGTTGAATGTCAGTATGTATCACATCAACAAAGTCAGCGTCAGTGTCACAAAGCCTGTTCGTAGGTGGGGCTTCAGGGTAGTCAAACCTGGGCCCAGCAGGATCTAGGCCAGTTATCCTACCGATTTTTTTGCCGGACAGTTTCTGGACCCATTTGCCTATGAAGCCTGCTAGCTGGGACCCCAATGAGTGACCTAGGGATAGTGAATAGAAAGTTTTCCAACAGGAACGAGCATACAGGGGAAACGAAATTTGTCTGACGTCCTGAGTTCAATGTGTACTAGAGAGAAGTGTGTATAGACACATATGCTAGATAGAGATACAAGCCGTCTGGATAGCGAAGTTCATCACTGCGTAGCAACGCTGACGCGGCAATCTGCCGCGATGCGATTATGTTACACCAATTTCTTGAATTAAGATGCATGTTGAAAATATGCGTTAGTTTATTTCTCTATGCCCACATAATGGCTTTATTTTGAGCGTACACATTTTTGAGTTGTGAATCGTGTCAAATCTGTTTAGGATCGATTCCGGATCGGTCCTAACGGCGCTCTATTTTAGGCCGAAATGAAGGATCAGGATCGCCACAAATTCTGCAATGCATCATTGGTTCGCTTGACAACATCGCATATCGTACATTTCAGGGCAAGGTTTCCACCTCCATAAGCACAGATGAGCGATTTTGTATTGCGTAATGGAATTTGTTACATCTTCCGACCGCTCGCTGTCGCGAAATGTAACAGTGACTCAGGATGTGTTGATTTTATTGACATCCGTGAAAATCAAAGATAACTAATTCTAAAGTAAATTAAACCACTAAGGGCCGTATCGTCAGTCGTTCCTACAATAATTGTAAGACGCCTTTATGGCCTCCGTGATTTTCATAGTCTTTTGTCTCCTCCAGAAAGCCTAGGGTATTCCTAGATTTCTACTGTTCCGTGTCAGCGTCAGCACATCCCTATTGTGAAGTTATGTTTTCTTTTTGAATTGTAGGAAATTTCAGGTTCATAAAACATGATATAAATCAAAAGCATGAACAATTTGATGCAAATAAATATTTGTGACATAACCTCAAAATAGAACGCTAACACGGAACAGTTAAAAACTATGAAAATCAAGGACGCCATAAAGGCGACTGACGGTACGGCCCTTGAATGAATGATTGAATAGTGAAATCAGAGGCATTCCGGCCACCATAAGGAGCCAGTGCATAGGCCACTTAAACGGGCCCTTATTCACCTCTACATTCCTCAGATCTCGCCATTTTAGCGAAGCTGAGTATGGCCTTGAGTCGAAGCTCCTTAACGTCCTGAGGGCTCAGAGTAATGGACCCCAGTATAGTCTGCCTATTGTAGCTCAAAGCTTCAAAACGACACAGAACGTGCGCCGAGATCTCTTGCTCAACTCTGCAGCGCTCACACAAGGTATCCTCAGCCACCCACATCACGTGCAGGTGGCGTCTTAACGTGTTATGGCCAGACAACAGTCCCACCAGCAATCTTAAGTTGGCTCAATCCAGAGATAAGCAGAAACGACCATCCTTAGCACTGGGCCCTTCAATGAGCTCCCGTTCCTGGCGGAGATGCCAGGATATACTTCCCCATTTCTATAAGAGTGTTGTCTTGCAATCCACGTCTCCATTTTCCTCCTAACTCTATGCGCGGGCACTCCTAAAGCTGGCCCTTAGTCTCATCAAAATTGAAATAAATAATTCTAATTAAAATGAAAACAAAATATTAAATTAAATATTTGAACAAACCTTTATCTTAGGTTTGACAGTAGCCTAACCTATTGAAAATCCTGTGTGAACATTTTCTAGTGTAACATATTGGCGACGCGGCAGATTACAAGACCTTCTGCGTCACCGTCGCGAGGTAATGTGGTGATGATCTTCGCTATTCAGCCGGCTTCTAACTCTTTCTAATATGTGTTGATACACAGTTATCGCGCTTCTCTCTCGTACACATTGAACTCAAGCCATCAGACAAATTTGGTTTTCCCATGTCAAAGTTGAATACAACAAACTGAACAAACTGTGTGTATTGGCTGACTAGCTAAGATACAAAGCGAAAGATTCTCGGTCGTTAATTATATGGGTTAATTCTCTTGCTTGACTGAGTCAACCGCCTAGTTTCATCAGCTGTAAAACAAACTTCATGTTGTTATTACTAATTCATGATTAACTAAGTGACTACCAGTATATTTCAAGGCAAATTGTTTTCAATACCGCCCCCCTCTATCTCTGATTGTGTGCAGCACATCATTGGCTGTTAGTTACCTCTTCGTCTTTCGGCAATATTATACACTGGTCACGCGCATTCTTTTCTACTCATCCCCACCTTAAAATCAAAATCTTTTGCCGTTGTACGTCGACTTGTCATTTTTAACAATCGCCATCCAGGGGGGGTGAAACGTCTTTTTTTTCATTTAATATGGTTTTATGGTATGCTTATGCATTATTGTCCTATAATTGGGAGACTGTTGGGCAATAAAGATTATTATTATAATTAATATTATTATTATTATTATTATCAAACGTGTATAAACAATTCAGTTCAATTGATGAATGCTAACTGGTCTAAAGTTCAGTTTCTAGATTTTTCCCATAGATACTAACAAACATACTAAAGTCAAGAGTTAAAGATAAAAGCTTGTAAAAAGAGAAGACTTTGGGATTATTCTCGTATTAAAGATATCATTCGCTTGTTCATAACTGAAGCAGGTGAATTGATTCTTGGATACTCGAAAAATTATTAGGAATGTGAATTTGTATACCTTTCTCAAACTAATTAGAACATTCTGTGAGTGAAATATTAAATGAACTGCTCCCATTTTATGGAATATGACGTCTTTCAGATCAAATTATGCTAGATACTAGGTATATATTTACCCACAATATGGACCTTTTCTTTCAATACCCCGGAAGCAACTATAAACTGGGCGATATACTTTCCCACAGGATCAATGTTCGCACTGGATACAGAATATGATTTATTTCCAGCCTTCTGCCAGTTTATATAGATCACATTGTGTGGACCCAACTTGAAGAGCTCGTCTTTGAAAGGTTTATACCATGGCGAACTGTCATCAGTTGTAAATCTGAAAAATGTTCCAAATATGTTATAAATAAGATGGCAGAAGCCGCAGGAATTTTTTACAGGCGGACAAGTAACGGTGACTTTTTGTGAGGGTGTACCTGGCTCAGAAACTTTTTGAAGAGCGGGGGTAGTAAACTTCTTCAGGGAGACCCTAAAATTCCCCAAAACTGCACACACATCCGATTGTACATACAAGACTTTGATTAGTATTATAAAACTTCAAGTATCTAAAAAATTAATCCTGTAGTTGATCTCAACTCATCGAATACAGAAAAACCTAATGCTAAAACTTTTTCTCACATTGAAGAATAGTATTTAAAACAGCATTATTTTATGGTGTAGTTAAAAGACTCGAACATGTTGCAGTTCCCTAAATACATTTCATTTCCCCTCATATCTGAGCCGATGCACACAACTTGCATTCAAAAAATGAAATGTAACGCCCTCGTATAGCTGGGACATTGAGTGTCAAGGATGACGCTTAGGCAAGCAGAGTTGTGCGACCATGTATCGAACGTGGTTGTATTCTGGACCGTTCGCGACGCTATCGCGAGTATTGGAGATGGCATCTAGACTACTTCCATGAAAGCTCACGGCTCTTCATGGAAAACGCTAGAACATTTCTTGAAGCGTCGATAGATGAATATATACTTGGCCAGATGGTCAGTGACAGTCTGCACTCCGAGACAGTAGATGCGAATGCGGATATCGCTGTTCGTTCACTGACCCGACTGTGTCAATTAAATAATAGTCCAGTCGATATTGTTATAAATTTGTTATCAATTAGTTGGTGTACGGGTTAGTGAAGGTACCTGTGTCGGGGGTGACTTTAACCGTTATTAGACCTTGCATGTGTCGGCAGAGACAGTAACTATTTTTAGAGGCTAAGCTGTGCGCGTATCGGGAGTGATTGTGACTGTTTTGTATGACCTAGAACGTTTAATTTCGTTGTTGTTTCGTGCTCGTTTTGTCGTGTAGGTGCATGACAGAGACAATGCCTCTGAAGAAGCTAAGCGATCTGAAAGTGGTGGACCTGAAGAGAGAGCTAGAGGAGATTGTGCTCGAAACGACAGGATTGAATTGGACGCAGCTGGCCCATCTTCAGAAGTACTTGTGAGAGAGAGCTGTGGGGGAAATCCAGAGACCTTCCAAGGGTCCAGGCTCCGCCGGCGACACACGGCTTCTGTCTACGCTCAGATGCTGAGAGAGGAAAGCTAGGCCCTGTCGCAGATGCTGAGAGGAGAACCTGTCCCTTACCCAGATACTTGACGACACCAGCCGTGCCGTTCAGGAAGAGAGCCAGGTCCAACCGTGGACGCTGGGAGATGAGAACCAGGCCGTATCGCAAACGCTGAAGCAGGAGAACCAGGCCCTGTCGCAGATGTTGAAGGAAGACAACCAGGCCCTTTCCCAGAAGCTGGACGTATCATCCGCGTCCAGGAAGAAAACCAAGCCGTCTCAGAGAAGTAGAGGAGCTACAAGGAAAGCTGCAGGAATATGTTACAAGCGCAAGTTTGCCATCGAGTCATTGGTCAAGACTTCGTAATAGACGATGTGGAGCATCCCATAAAGGAGGGAGTTTGGACCAGGTGTAGCCAAGCTGAAGTATCCACCATTCAACGAGAAAACGACCTGGCTAAACTATTTCAAGCAGTTCCAGCCAATGGTTGCTCCAGCAGCGACAAGGCGGATGCGTTGACTATGACCCTCAGAGGAGACGCCCTAGATGTCTTCAAACAATAGCAGCACTTGAAAATGCGCTCATCTGGAGCAGGTATAACAGTCGCAGATGAAGAACCGCCGACAGAAAGCAAACGAGAGTCTGTAGGAGTTCGAAGCGGATGTTACTCGGTTGATGCGCTTCGTCTATCCATCAGCTTCTGATGAAGTGTCTACCCGAAGATGTTGCTTCGCCTGCACATTAGAGTTTGAAACTGCGAAAGAAGCACCTAGCCCGTGTGAGGGTTGTTACCGAAGAAGCTAACCCTAGCCAGCAAACCTTAGAGGCGCTGGTCCACGAAATACAGAGGCTGCTTACGAAGAAGACCAAGCTGTACCCTGCCAGAACTGTAGAGAGTGGTGCCACCCCCGAAGGGAATGCCAGCTGTCGAGAAGAACAGCTGAGGGGGAAGCTTTAACTGAGGTTATCCAAGTCTATATGTGGATGGAAGAATCAACGGTAGGACATATTCATTCATGGTGGATACCGGAGCTATGAATACCATCATGAGGCCAGGCCTGATAAAAACTTCTAGGAGCTACTTCCATCCACCTGGAAACTAGGCACCGCCACGAGAGCTGCTGTTCCTGTATGTAGAGAAGCGGACGTGACATTGCCGATCGGCTCTTAGAACTTCCCTCATCGTGTTCTGGTTACTGCTATTGAGGAGGATGTGGTCCTGGGAATGGACGTGATGAGCAGTCACGGATTCCAGCTGTTCTTGGGATACAGCAGTTAGAGTAGAGGAGCCATTCTCCATAGCCGAAATGTTGTGCATGCTTGGATGATCATGACTGGAGACACCGGTGTACCTGCGAACAGCGAGACCCTTGTGAAAGCGTGTGTCGATGGAGACGTTGACACGAGAGGGACCGTCATAGCAGGTGCGCTGGTGGAGAGGGTTCTGGTGAAGGTTCCACTCCGGCTCTTGAATCCCAGCTCCCATCCTGTGATGCTGAAGGGAGGAGCTATCGTTGGTACATGTTCGCCAGTGACATCGACCATCCATCAAGCCGAATTCAGAATCGAGCAGAAGAACGAGGGTTGCAGCCGCCTTCAGGAGATGATTGGGGCAGTCTGTCAAGCCGTTCACCCGGGCCAAGCTGCAAAGGCGAAAGAACTGATCGACCGATATGGGGACATCTTCGCAGGTAAAGGCTCCGAACGAGGGCGGACGAATGTCACGAAGCACAAGTAGACTCCCGGAGGTAAAGCGAGAGGAAGCCTTTAAGATAGTCTAGCAGATGGAACTTGAATGTGTGATAGATCAATCCAGTAGCCCGTGGGCGTCACTTTTGGTGTGGTGCTGGTAAAAACTAAGGATGGGAGTACTCGTTTCTGCGTAGACTATCGTCGTCTAAGCAACGTCACCAGGAAGGACAGCCATTCACTGCCACACATTGAAGACACGTCGGATTCACTATCTGGGTTTGCTTTCTTCTCGACGCTGGACTTGGAGAGCGAATACTGACAAGTGGAAATGGATCATGCCGACTGTCTTTTCAATCGAACAGGGTAGTTCACCGTAATGCCTTTCGGGTTGCGCAACGCACCTGCTAGTTCGAGGGGTTGATGGAGTTAATGCTGGTCTGGAAAACAAACCTCGTCCACCTGGACGACATCATCGTGATAGGCAAGACGTTCGAAGAGCACCTGAAGAATTTGAAAGAGATTTACGGAGGCTCGGAAGTGCTACCTTAAAAGTCCGTAGAAGTCCATTTTTTGGGAGAAGGTGAACTACCTGGGCCACGTAATCAGCCTTGGTGGGATTGAAATCGATCGATGTTGTCAACTGGACAGAGTTTCACGTTTATATATAATTCTTTGCGAAAATTTTATTTGTGAGACTTTTGTACATTTTAGGAATGTTCTAATTTAATTATCTTAATTGAATTTCCTATAGTTACTAGTTTCAATCAAAATGGTTTTCTAACTTGCAGAATAAATAAACAAGTTCCTAACATATTCTGCATTTTTATTAAATATTCTATGGGCACCTTTTTTACGGTATGATCAATCGTGGATGACCAAATCGTTAAACGTTGACGATTCAACGATTGGCCATTCTATGAAACGCTCGATCAATTCTACGATATGGCCACCACATATAGATTTGTTGAATACGCTAAAATAGAAATTAGCGTTTTCAGCCCATTCCAACAAGTTCAAAATTCTTACCCATGAATGATATAAGTCGTTGGCACTGTTTTATCCATGTGTTCATCTCCTACCGTCTCTTCTGTCAGAACTTTGGGCTCCTCTGTACTAGCATCTCTGAAGTATTTGTAAATAACGTCAGTCTTCACTGCATCCGCTAACTTGAAGTCTACATTTTGGTAAGAAAACCGTTCTTCTCTAGTCAGCACACGGCCCTTATCTGAGGAACCTGTATAATGAACGATTTAAAAAACTATTTTCAAAATAACGAAGTACCTACTGGTCATACTCATTTATAAAACGAACACACTTCTGATACAAGCGATGTATAGTAGAAGTGCTTGTTAAAAATAAATTATAATTACCAAAACAACAAACATGGTAATCAAGTGAGTAGTAACTGGGACGATATCGACTGTTTAACTTTTAATGGGGTTTTCAAGTATCTGATGTCCTTGAAATTCTTTCAGTGGCGGACTAAGGGGGGGGGATGGGGCCTCCAGTGTAAGGTTGCCTCCAAAATTTCGTTTTATAATTATTAAATAAAATATTTTTTAAATTGCTTAATAAAATATGGTAAACATTCTTTTTGATTTTTTATATATTACAATAGCCAAGCCACCAAGAGATAATCTTGTTGTCAAATCACTGCGTTCGTATCTTACCAGGCCATTTGTGCCAATCTGAATCGAACTTGCATCTACTTAGCAGCTGACCCAATTTACCCATTAATGCATATAGACAACCAACTGTGCTTTGTTGAACAAATTAATGTGTGATCGTCTCTGATTATCGTTGATTGGTCATTATACATTTGTAAATCCGCTTTGTTTATATTTGTTGCTTTAATTTAATAAGCGGAACATTGGCTGTGTATTTTTCTGTTAAACTGATTTTCACCATATGCTGAGCTACTGTTTTTTTTAGAAAAATCTTGATACAAATCTCTAATCACAGAAAAATGGAATACTTGCATGTTCTTCAAAGGAAAAGTTTATTCTAGACCTCTGATACGCTCTAAGTTCACATTTTCCAATCAAGTATACACGATCCTATTGTCATTTTTATATTTCTTTTCAACAAGGTGAACCCTGCAAATCTTAGGTAAACTGGATTTTTCAAACTATGCCTTACTGGAAAAAATGATTGGTTGCAATACATTGTCTAAAAATTTCATACTCATCATCAATTTGCCAATGTAGATTAAAAACCTTTGTCCGTATTTTTAGGAAAAGTGGAAGGTTATAATAATTTGTGTTAAATTGGGTTAGATTGAGTTGGAAAAGCAAAACGTTGGATGAAGTGGTCAAACAAAGCAGTTTCTTAAAATGATTCAAGTTTACGAAGCTTTTAGGATCATAGTATTCTCTGTACTGGGCTGTAGATCCGTGTGGACTTAAGGGCCGTATCGTTGCTACAATTGTAGGACAGCCTCCTTGATTTTCATAGTTTTCTACTGTTCCGTGTCAGCGTTCTAATTTGAGGTTATGTCACAAATATCTATTTGCACCAAATTGTTCTTGCTTTTGATTTATAGCATCTGTTTATCAGCCCGAAAATTTCCTGCAATTCGAAAAGAAAACGTAACTTCACAATAGGAGAGCGCTGACGCTGATACGGAACACTAGAAATCTTGAAATATCTCAGTCTTTCTGAAGGAGAGAAAATACTATTAAAATCAAGGAGGCCATAAACTCGTCTTACAATTTATTCTAGGAATGACGATACGGCCCTTAGAGCAGTGAAGAAACTAGCGTTAACGTTATTAAATGGGTGGGGACTTTAGAGTAAGGACTAATTGCATAGGTCTGTTTGGCTGACTTAATCCATTTAATTTTTTTGTTATACATGTTTGTAGCTAGTTCTGAGGGAATAACTTGTGCCGAACATAATCGTTTATGAACTGATGACGATGACAACATTGCGTGGGAAATGCAGAGTCAACCTACATGACTCCATTTTTTGACATTATATATGTTTTTTACGTAATAACCCTGCCAACTATATTCCTACACCTTTGACATTACCGACCTATTTTCGTATATTGCTATCAGATTGCCGGACTAATCCTACTCAATGTAATGTAAGCAATGTTAAGATGCCGCGACGCATACAATCACGTCCGTCATTCTTGACTAATTTTCTAGCCCTTCTGATGAGAAATCTTAAAAAGTGTATTTGCGTTGATTAAAGTCTTCAGTCTGAAGATAGCCAACCATATACTCTATCCCGGCGCCCAAATAGGGATCTGTGAGATCCCAGCACCATTTATGAGATAGTAGCAGAACTGACAAATGAATTTTGAAATCTACTTTGAAAAGAGATATAGTGTTTGGTTCTGCTACTATCTCACATGTGGCGTTAGGATTTTTAATTTCTTTTTGGTGCCTTCTAATACCTGTTTCAGTTGAATGTATCCATTTGGAATACGTCAACCAATGCCAGACGATATCCGAAGTGTTTTAAACTTTGGCCATTAATACGTATTATGATAGACACGAAATGTACTTCATCCAGGTATCAGATATCAGTGACTTCAAATCAACTTGCATAAGAGAAATTCGTAAGCTTACTTATTTGTTGATTACTACCTTTATTACTCTAATAATTTAGATGCAGTCATTTCTAAAACTAAAAAAAAAAATGATTGAAAGGTAGTAAACCATATAACTTTTATAAATAAAGCTGAAAAAGCCTAATTTTTTTGAATTAAACATTTTTTATTCACTCTACACAATTTCACGACTTTAGAAGGGCATAACACATTTTTTGAGGCCGGTTGTACAAAGCATTATTTGCTCTGTATAAGCATTCATTACAAGACACAACAACGTTTATTTTGTACTATTATCTGGACAAACAAAAAATTTATAAAGATATGTATAGTATATAGTGAGACATAGCTAATATAGCCCAGACATATCGGGTGTTTCAAATTCGACTCTCCCTATTAGAGCGCAGTTTAAAAGAAACCAATCCATTACCCAAATTCAAGAAAAACTGATAGAAGTTGTACTTTATCAACAGCGAAATCTGTTGTAACCCATAAGTGGCATCATATTTTTCTTATGCCTTTACTTAGATTACACTTTATTCTGTCGTTATTGTATACAGGTATTAATTTTCAACCAATTCTGTTTTTTTACGTATCTCGTATTGTTAAGGGGTTAGATGGTAGAATAGATATATTATCTAAATCTCGCCTCCTGTAAGAATATTACAGATATAGGACTTTAATTATTATTATTATTACTATTGGGACCTCGGAAACGGTAAGAGATACGGAGTCGGTTAAATTAAGGGCAAAGTTTTGGATTTAGGTAACTAACTAAATGGCACTTAGGAAGTTTCACAATTTCGAGTATTTCCGGAGACTGACGAAACCGATTTTTATCAAATTTGTTTGAATTTTTGTTGGCTTTATTTGAAATTGGATTTCAAAATGAAAAGTACATTACCATGGCCCTCCTCTACAACATGGCATAATTAGAATTTTAATATGACATTTCGTCTCTGGTCCTCAATCACCAACATTAATTTTTATCAAAGAGGCCGTAATAGATTTTATAGTACAGATAAACAGAGTTTTTAATTCTGATTTCAAAAATGTATAACATGTCATACATTCACATTATCTAACCGAAGTTATTTCAAAAAACTAATATTTCCTTAGCTGGCTTTGAAGATGACAGTTTATCACACGTTTATGCGATTAAATTAAATGCTTCAATTTATGAGAAAAGTGTTTAAAAGACATCTTTGGGTGACTGCAACATCGTCCGTTTTACTTACTCTAAAATGTTTCTATCTGTTACATAAAATAATACTGTTTTTAATGTTTTGAATACGGTCCTTAAATAACATAAGGTTTTATTTAGCACTAGCTTCTTCTTTATTCGTTGAGATATGGGAAGATTCCAAGTTTTATAATACCAATCCATGTCATGATTTGTACAATATCACATCATTTAAATAAAAAATAAGCACTTATGCCTAGTTCATAACAACCGAAGGATTATTACTTGGTTGATAATATGAAAGAAATGACTATCGGATAATTTCAAGGCCAACGTTTTTTAAATAACTAAGATTTGACAATGGAATCAGAATTAAAAAATCTGTTTATCTATGCAAAAATTTTAATATATTTTTATTTTGAAACTCCATTTCAAATTGTCATAAAAACTAAAAACGATTTTGGGAAAATTCGTCTTTCGTCTATCTGCGGAATTACGAAACTATCTTAGTGCCATTTTCTTAGTTACCTAAATGCACAACTGCAACTGTGATCATGATGACTGGGCTATAGTTGCCAAAGAAATAGTCAAATATTGCTACAAAAATATTGCTCGCTTAGTTGCTCAGGAAGATCTGAATTTCTCACAGAGATGCCTAGATTTTGTTTTGCCTATGACTTTGCTAATTGGATAATTTCTAGAATGCAATAGACTGCAATATCACTGCAACACTTACCAGACATATTGGCACAAAATGTTGCACGGCTAATTAAACTGTAGACAGGTATAATAATTCTCATATAATTAACTATTGTAATAGGAGCGAATCTGATATAATATATATTCCGTACGTAGGAAAATCGTTCTACAAATAACCATTCATAATGCAATGATAAACATATTTTAGATAAAATGTATGTTCCATACTTGCACATGTATAACAAAACACGCCAGTCATCTATCTTTTTATTATATTATCGCTAACATGGAGATAATATGATTCAAACCAGTTTATGTGGACAGCTTTTAAGTATTGGTTTATCAGTAAAAAACGATGACGGATGCATCTATTTATTCTGTAACAATTAAATTGTTTATTATTACACACATGAATTTGTTTTTCCGCTTACTGTGATATACAGTGCTTTTCAAAAAGGTCCCCTTCCCCACTATCTTTTTGTAAGGGGCAATTTAGCACATTGAAATTCGGAACCATTAAATCGATTCAGTAAGACGATGATAGAACGATAAACGTGAAAACAACTAACCCGCCTTAAAAGAAGTACCACTCTGTACCGTTTTTTTTTGTTACAAGGGCAGTACGTGAACAATTCGATATGGGAAACAAAAGCCGCTTACTTGGTGACGTTTGGCAAGGAGTAATCGCGATAGGACTTGATTGTCGGGGCCAACACCTATTTTCGGCAAAATACTTATGAGTACCTCGCATATTAGACTGACTGATGGCATGACATGCACAAATCTATTAGTTACCATTACATTAGGATTAGCTTATCCAAACTTCTAGTATATATTCGTCACACAGACTTAATCATATGATCATCACACAGACATATCTTGTATCGTCACACAGACTGATCATTGAGTCGTCACACAGACACAGACAGACTAGGAGTTTCTCTCTCTAACGATTGATAGGAAAAGCTGTCTAGAAATTAGGATATCACATTGCCATGTCAATACCCAAAAGTTCCATCGTTACCCCTGATCTGAGCAACAAGACTACTTTAACCTAACAATCCCTACACACATCCTGC